GGCTTCTTTTGAGTGTTGCTTTTGTTTGTACTCTGGTGAAAGGAGGTAAGTTTTTTGTTTTTTGTTCTTCTTTTTTTCCCCTTTTTTCCTTCCCTCTAACAGGCAGGACTTCGTGAGGGGAATCCTGTTTGCTGATGACTGGGTTTGTGTTTCATCGTGTTTCTTTCCCCCTGTAAGGGGCAGGACTTCGTGAGGGGAATCCTGTTTGCTGATGACTGGGTCTTGTTTGCTGATGACTGGGTTTGTGTTTTATCGTGTTTTTTTTTCCCCCCTCTAACGGTCAGGACTTTGTGAGGTGGCAATCCTGTTTGCTGATACTGGATCCTGTTTGCTGATGACTGTGTCCTGTTTGCTGATGACTTGGTTTTGTGTTTCATCGTGTTTCTTTCCCCCTCTAAGGGGAAGGACTTCATGAGGGGAATCCTGTTTGCTGATCACTGGGTTTGTCTTTCATCGTGTTGGTTGTTGGGTGAGGCCTCCTCCACTGGGTGCTGCTGGCAGTTGGGTGATGCAGGTGTGAACAGCGGAGGCCTTTATGGGAGTTCTCACCAACAGACACTCCCTGGGGTAGGAGTCTTATGGCAGTCTAAAGTCTTGGCAGCGCTCCCACTCCAAAGGCTCTGGGCCTGTTATCTGGGAGGGAAGTCAGATTCCACAGGTGGTTTGTAAGGGGATTAAAACAAACACAGTAAAACAAGAAACAAAATTCAACCCCCAAACAGATGGCAAATACAAAATCAGGCAAGTACTCAGAAAAATAATGGGATACATACACATGTATATACACACAGAAAAAAAAAACCCAAAAACACAACAATGTAAAAAAGAAATTAAGAAGAAGAAGACGAAAGTAGAAGAGATTGATCCATTGAGCAAATGAAAGCAAAAATGATATCAACTAGTTATTAAAAAAACTGACTAAAAGCATAAACTGGAAAACAAACCCAAAGTGATGTGTCAACTGGGGAATAAAGCTACTAAAGCAGAACAGACTAATAAGCATAGTGAGAAAAGGAAGGAAAGAAAGAAAGACTAGAAAAGAAAATTTAATAGAGGTAGATAAATAAGTTTCATATGTATTAAAGAATAACTTACAACAGGAAAAGAATAAGAAAAGCAAACAAAAAATACATGTGGAAAAATAATAATAAATTTTTTAAAAACTTCAAAAATTAAAACCAGGAAGAAACACAAAACAACAAAAGACCAATGTAGAGGAAGAAGTATTTAAAGGAAATTAAAAGTGTGATTTAAAAAGCTTAAGATCATAAATAGATTTAATAGTAGCATTAAAATCAACAACTAGAACAATAGAGAGAGAGAAAAAAAAAAGTAAAAACCTAGTAGCAACTACTGAATAAGTTAAATATAAGAATAATAAATATCTTTATTGCATCAGCTGTCAGCATCCTTTTCCTCAATGTGAGTCAGAGTCCACCTCACCTCCCTAGGATGCCCTTCAGTTCTGGGCTGGTCTCTGGACCTGTTGTGGGGGCAGCTCAGACTCTAATCTGGTCCTACTCCTGTGTGTTCTTGCTCTGATGTCCACATCACCAGTGCTAGTATGTTTTCTTTTGCAGGAACTCTCATTGTTCTTTATATATTTCATAGATACAAAGTCTGCCAGTTGATCATCTGGATTCAACCTTCAGCTTATACCACTGGTGGGAATGTTTTGGTTCTCTTCCTTAGCCACCTGCCACTGGATTTCACTTGTGGGTTTATCTCCACCTCTGTATGTGAGTCGTCCACAGGAGTTTGCTCCTGAGGCTCCCCTGGAGGACCTGGGTGTGCCCCAGGGGAGGCCGAATGTGGAGTTGGTGCAGTTGCTTGGATTGCAAGGGCCCTGGCAGCACCAGGTACTCAGGGGAGCCAGGGGCTAGGACAGCACAAAATATGGTGCCCTTAGGGTTTTTGTAGCCTTTGGTTGCTCTGTCTTTGTGGAGGTTGAGCATGGGAGTGGAACAGGAGCTTGGATAATGGGAACCCTGGCAACACCAGATACATAGCTGTGGCTATTGTCACAAGAGATATGTGACTAGTGGGGATTTTTCTAGCTTCTGACAGCTCTGCCCAGGGAGGACTGAGCATGGAGGTGACACAGCTGCTTGAATTATGGGAACCCTGGCAGTGCCAAGCATGCAGGGAAACCAATAGACTCAGCTGCAGGAGCTATGGCCCTATTAGAGTCTTTTCCTACCTTCTGGCACCTGGCCATCAGAGGACCTCTTTGGCTGGTCCTTTGCTTTGCTTGAACTCTTCAAGCACTTACAGGGCCCCCCTGTTGGGGTCATTCTCTGTTGTTCATCGCATCAGGGACTTAAAGATCACCCTGGCTGGGGTCCTTCTGTGTTGCTTTGCACGTCAGATTCTTAAAGGGCCACCCTCCCTGCTTTGTTTCCACAGTCTGGTGCTGATATGTGCAGAGAGAGAAGGTCAGAGATGGCCTCATCCTCTGTGTGTGACTCAGCAGTATCACCCTGCCTCCAGGTTAGCTGGCTTTCCTTCATAAGAATTTACCACTGCACTCTCCTCTCTCAGGTTTCCTCAGGCCATTTCCCTTCAGTCAACAGCAGACCTTGCCCTGGGATAGCTTTCCAATCTCTATGTTCCAGCTCCAAGCTGCAGCACTTTCTAGGGGACTTGCATCCTTGACTGGGGTATGTGTGGCTGTGGCAAGGATCCTCTGTGTGATCCTCATTCCACTCAGACTCTCACAGATCAGCTGTTTCACTCTCCAGCAGCCTCAATGCTTCACCTCTGTCACAAACATTTGCCCTCCCATGCAGCTCTGTCCCTGCTTCAGTTCCCCAACCCCAGGTGCAGATCCAGTTCTACTCACTCTTCTCGTTTTTGCCCTCCTTCTTTTGTCCTACTGAGTGTTGCATGGTTCTATATATCTTTTTCCGGTGGTCAGGTTCTCAGCTGGTGTTCCGCAATATCTTCTGTGTCTGGAGGTGTATTCCTGACGTTTCCGTGGAGAGAGATGTACTCCACGTGTACCTACTCTTCCGCCATACTGGATCTCAGTGTATGGTATAGAGCCCACACCTCCCTCCAAGTCAGGCTTGCTGTGGGTGGGTGTCCAATTTCTGTTGTTGGTTCAGGATAGAAAGCAATGGATATCTTATTCTTCTCATTTGAACATACTTCGCACTTGATCAATTTTCTTGACTCTCTTTAGTTATATCTGTGCATTAGACTAAACATCCACTTATCCTAGTCTTTACAGAGTGGCTTCATAAGTAGAACATTTCCAGAATTCAGCCTTTTCAATCAGCCTGGCCAGAATTTTGGGTGCCTCTCTAACCTCTCTGCTCGTCCAAACTTCTGGGTTTGTAGTCAGCCTCCTCCAGGAGTCTAGAGTATGCAGTGATCTACAAGGGAGAATACTTGGTGGAGCAGGCAATTGGAGTTTATCACCTGGCTCACTCTGCCCTGAACTGGGGAGAGGAGCTGTGGTAAATGCCTGCATGCTGCTTCACACCCTGTGCCTTCTGAACCATGATTTAGCTCTCTGTAGTCTGGAGGCCCCATGCAAATTTTGGCTTTCATCAGCTCTCAGGGACAGGTTAGTTAGAAGCCAGTTCCTCAGGCAGAGCTGGAAAAGCACAAGATCCAGATGTGCCATCTGTCTCCTTCAGTGGAGTAACTAGGAGTTGCTCACTCTGCATTAAGCTAGGGGACGACCTGTGAGAAGTGCTGGTACAGATTCATAACTGCCACTTCATTTCTGTAATCCCAGGAGACTGAAAATGTTAGGGCTCCCAGAGGCAGGCTAATTGGAAGCTGGACCCTGGACTAGCAGTTGCAAAATCAGAGACCTAGATTAGGATCAAAGTCTTTGCTCCTCCAGGAGAAGATGGGAGTTGAGTGTTCCCTTCAAAATGTATGGTGCTCTGCTGCATGGGGAATGTCTTAGTTTTCCCTGCCGCTTAGGATTTGGCATTTCCTCACTTGCCTTGAATGCAGAACTTCTCATTTACTCTTTTTATTTTGAATAAAAGGATCTGATTCACACATAGCTGTTAATTCAGTGTGTCTGTGGAGAGAAGGGGAGGTCACGGTGGCCTATTCCACTCTCTTACTAATACCCCTGCATTGTTCCCAAGTTATATGTGTTGGGCTTGTTTGTTTTTTCATTTTCCAATTTAAGTAAAAGCAAAAATTGATTTTTAGTCTTTGTCATTACTATTATTGCTATGTAATTTTAAAATTCCCCTCAGCACACTTTTGGTCATATCATAAATCATATAAAACTTTACTTATCATGGTTTTATTTTCATTCAATTCAAAATATTGAAAGTTTTCTCTTTTGACGTCTTCTTAATCTGTGAAGTACTAAAAAAATTAGCTGAATTCTATGAAGATATCTAGTAGGTGACAGAATTGTACTTTTCCAAGTTTAGTTATTCATGGTTTGAAGGAACATCTTTTTGTCATTAGTAGAATGAATGCATGTATTGATCTTTGTCATCTTCATTGAACTCCAAGTACTGATATTGCTTCAAGCACCCAGTTTTGATGACAACATTTCAAATTCTCAGAGACAATGGCTGGGGTCACTGTGGTGGAATATTCTGTGATCGTCATTTGGTCTGTGTTCTGGATTGCTTAAGAGATCGAGACTAGACAATACTTTCAACAAGTCCCAGGAAAGGAAACCCATTGCTGATAGATTTTTGACATGCTGTGTGATTCCAGATCCTTTAGACAAACAGATTTCTAATAATTTTCTAGAAGGGATTCATAGTCTTTTAAATCTTGCTTTGTTCTAGAAAATAGAAATCAAGTGTTTTGGTTTTATATCTCTGGAAATTCATAGTTTCTGGTTTTTGTTTTTGTTTTTTTTTTCTTACAGGGGACCTTAAATGATTAGAAGTTTTTTTGGTTTATAGTCATAAATGACTACCCTTTTTTGTATCATTACCTTATTTGGGTCCGTATGAAATGTGTATCAAATATATGCTTACCTTTTCTTTATGCTTTCTCCCATTTAGAAACATGTTCGAAAAACAATGTAAGAATTGAGAATGGATTTTTGTCTGAATCTGCCTTTACATATCCCCTAAATAAACAAACAGAATATAAGTGTAAACCAGGATATGTAACAGCAGATGGTAAGACATCAGGATTAATTACATGTCTGCAAAATGGATGGTCAGCTCAACCTGTATGCATTAGTAAGTAATTCATTATCTTAGTATTCTTTATCCTGATGATAACTATACAGAAGTACTCTTTAACTTTGTTCTTTTATCCTTTTTTCTTTCTTTTTTACTTTGCTGGGGCAGGGTCATATGAAGTGTTTTGTGATTCAATGGCTGTATTTGAAAAGATCAATTACAAAGCTTTGGAAAATAGATCTTTCTCTTTTTTTTTAATTTTTTTTTGCCTTTAATGACCAATTACCAGTGGAGTAGAATATCATTGTGCTATTTAGTTCAACGTTTTGTCACTTTAAAACATCCTGTGACTAAAAACTAATTTTGCTAAGAGCCTTACTTCTATTCTAGGATAAATTCATTTATTTTCAGCTGAGATCTTTATGCTGATTGCATCTGTTTTTATTTTAGGAGACGCTTAAGCCAGAGTTTCTGCTCCTAAGCCTAAAAGTTATGTTTTTAAGCAAAGATGTGAGGCCATGGTGCATAAACTTCAAATAACATGATGTATAGTTCATATGTTTGAGTCTCTAGGATAGTTAACCTTGTGAAAAATTCTCTCTTAGGAAATCTTCATAAACATCTAGTTAGTGGAGATATGAAACACTTCTAGACAGGACCAAATTCTGCTGTGCTGAAAGTTTTTCATGTAGCACCACATAGATTTTTATGAAGATTTCTAAGAACAGTTTATGAGTTTGTCTTGTTCATCCCAAAGCTACACAGTGATATTTTGGAAGTGATGATTCACATATTCACTTTAAGTGAAGTGGATATTTATAATATCCATTTCTACTGTTTTCATTTTATTTTCTCCAGTGTCTATACTTGCTACAGGCAGTACACGCTCAAAATGAAAAAAGTTCCACATATCAAACATTTTATTTTGATATATGATAATTTTCCATTCTAACATGCTTTTTATGGAAAATGTCTCTATTATTATATTTTACTAGTATAATTTTGCTTTAACACATTATGAAATTTGAAGTAAGTAATTTAAACCCTTATTAACATCAGTCTATGGTGTTAGTGAAAACAGATTGTTTGTTAATATATTTTCTTGTAAATAGCTATAAATAATAGAACTATGTCTGTATTCAACCTTAATAAGTATAAAAAAATTTACAACCATTAGAAATATAGTTGGAAAAGGAAAATTAGCATGTGAATTTTAAAAATTTTATAGAATCTTTAAAAATTTACTTGCCTTTTGAAAATTACTTTTTTTTCAATTAAGTTTTCTCCGCAAATATGTCACAACTGCTAATAAATTTGGCATATTAATTCAGAAAATGCTCTTATGAAAATAGTACAACACTTCTGTAATGGCTTATTTTAATACTAGCATTGGAAAAATGCATAAGTATAATTAAATTCAGGAACATGTTCATAAAATAAATAATTCAGGGACAATAAGTGTTGAGAAAAATGTTTCACAGAAATACACTTTTTTTTTTTTTTTCATTTTGAGTACTTATTTCAGGACAGTGGTATATCGCTGGTATTCTTGGCTTATTTTTAATGGTTAGTGCATACTAATTGGTGAAACCCTTTTCCGTTGGGATGAAAATCAATCAAATTGCCCACTAAGTAATATTAGAAATGAAATCGCAATCCCATTATCCCTTAGAATCCTGTGACAGGCCAGTATTTGAGAAGGCCAGAGCCAAAAGTGATGGCACGTGGTTCAGGCTGAACGACAGGCTGGACTACGTATGTCTTGATGGGTATGAGAACCGAGACGGACGCACCGCAGGCTCCATAGTGTGTGGTCAAGACGGCTGGTCCGATAAAGCTGCATGCTACGGTAGGTGTTCTTTTCCAGATGTTTTTTCCTCCAAGATAAACAAAATTTAACAGTAATTGTCAGTGTTTTATTTTTACCAAATTACGCTGATCTAGAATCATCTGTTCGGAGAAGGCAAAGGCACCCCACTCCAGTACTCTTGCCTGGAAAATTCCATGGACGGAGGAGCCTGGTGGGCTGCAGTCCACGGGGTCGCGAAGAGTCCGACATGACTGAGCGACTTCACTTTCACTCTTCACTTTTATCCATTGGAGAAGGAAATGGCAACCCACTCCAGTGTTCTTGCCTGGAGAATCCCAGGGATGGGGTCACACAGAGTCGGACACGACTGAAGTGACTTAGCAGCAGCAGCAGAATCATCTGTAAGGAATGACGCTTCCTTCTACTTTAATGTAAACTGGAAGGAGGGGAAGTTTTAAAGTCCAGTGACTCACTCAATACCAAAATGACAGGGTCTTGCAAACCTGTTCAAGTATTTTGCTCCTGAGTTTCCGTTTATACCTCCTACCTTGAATGTTAATTTAAGCAGCTCTTGACAGATGATTTTTATTTTCTAACTTTGACAAATTCTGAGGTCGATGACTGGAGAAGGAAACGGCAGCCCACTCCACTATTATTGCCTGGAGAATCTTGTGGATGGAAGAGCCTGGTGGGCTGCTGTCCATAGGGTCGACCAGAGTTGGACACGACTGAAGCAACTTAACAACAGCAGCAGAGGACAATGACGTGAATCTCTTTTAGGTTTGCCAGTCAGATGTATTTTTCCCAGGGTTGGAAATAGGGCTTCAGTCTCTGGTAAGCTGAGTGGATGTTGACTGTCCCAAGTCAAGGGACAAGTTCTGTGCAAAGCTTTGGCAACAAAGCAATATTGGAAAATATCAAGGTGGGCGGATTCTACTAAATGAGAGAAAATTTTATTTCTTATAATCAAGCAGGCAAATGGTAGGCAAATTTGTAGGTGGTACTGGCAGGAGAAAGAACACTTTGGCAAAAGCATCACAACTTTGACCTGAACACACTGTGTTTGGACCGACGGGGACCATAAACATTGGATACGTCAGCTACAGTGTTGAATGCATGGGTTTAGCCAGGAGATATACATGTGAGATTATCACTCTGTAAACGATGACATCAGATTGGAAAAGAATGTAGAATGAAAATAGAAGCGAGCTCAAGATTGAGTCCTGGAGCTTCCAACACTGAGGTGTCTGAGAGAAGAAGAATAGATGGCAAAGTGGACAGAAAGAAAGGAGGACCCAGAAAACTTAGGGGAAAAAATGTCAAAATGAATGTTTCATAGATGAGGACAGAAGAAAAGGATATAAAAACAAGGAATAATAAATTGACTAACAGTAATTCCTGTGGAATCAGCCTGAAATGTTTCCATATCCAGTTCCACCATTATCTAAGTATATATCTAAGACCAATGACCTATTTGAAGTTTGTTCCCTCCTCTGAGTCTGTACAATGATTTAATATTTAGAAATGTTCTAATATTTCAAAAAGATCTTTTAGTTATTAAAATAAACTATTCATGTAATCCTCCTGTCATAATGCCTACCATACAGTTTCTTCAAGGAACTTGTAATCTACTTACATTAGAATAGTTATACTAATGAATATTTCTAATTTAGTTAATATGTCAGGTTAAAAGACTAAAATATGCTGGATTTGGCTACATGGAGGCCAACAATAATTGTTAACAGAGACAGTTTCAGATGGAGTAGACAGGGAAAAACCTACTTACAGCCTGCTAAATAAATTATTAGTAAGAAATGCAATACAGCATGAGGACATAACTCTTTCAAAAGGCTTCGTGTGGCAGAGAACAAAAGGTTCAGGATATATTGCTCAGTGAATTATATTCTGTTTTAATGGGAAAGATGAGAGTGTAATGCACCTTGAAGAGGATGAGCCAGAGAGGGAAGAAGGCAGAGACTGACCACAGGCTCCCTGTGAAGGAGGTGGGAGAGGAACCAGCAGTTTTGAGAAAGTCCTGGGCTTTGGTGAAGATGGATTATTTGCAACTTCCTGTCAGGAGAAGGAAGGGAAGTGGGTGTGAAAATACAATGCTGGAAAGAAGCAGGTGCTGATGGTTCCTGTTCTCATTTCGGAAGGAGACAAAGTCATGTGAGACCGAATGGTGCGTGGGGGAAGGAGGAGAAGGAACACTGGGCAGTGCAGCAAAGATTGGACACAGAGATTTCAGACAGACACACAGGGGGAACTTGTTATAGAAACGGCCAGGCTTGTTCAACAGTGTCCAGAGCCCATGTAATTTCACTTTTCAGGCTGTCAGCAAGCACCTAATATGTGCCAGAAGTTGGCTAGGAGAAAATTGTGAAAAATACAGTGCAGAATGGTGGTATGCCTTTCAAGAGCTTTCATGCCAGTATGGAAAAAAAAAAGGGTGAATTAAGGCAAATAATGAACCAAAAAGTAATAATATTTCTATTATGTTGTTCAAAAAAGTGTATTCTAAGAACAAAAGACTCCAAGAGCTTAGAAAATAGGAGGGCCTGAAGGTCAAGTTTATACAGGAAGGCATCTATGCAAAGAAAGTCTGGAAACCATTCATCAGTAGAGACACGCCTTTGCAGCAGCCGAGGCAGCAAAGAAATTGGCTTATTTTAAAAAAGATCAGATTTTAAAGAATCTGCCTGCAATGCAGGAGACTTGCGTTCCATTTTTGGGTCAGGAAGATCTCTTGTAGAAGAGAATGGCAACCCACTGCAGCATTCTTGCCTGAAGAATTCCAGAGACAGAGGAGTGTGGTGGGCTATATAGTCCATGGGGTCAAAAAGAGTCAGACGTGCCTGAGATACTACACCATTGTTTTCAAAATTTCTGAGCCACCTGACAGTAAACTATCCACCTGCATCACGGGCGACCTGGATTGGATCCCTGGGTCAGGAAGATCCCCTAGAGAAGGGAATGGCTAACCACTGCGATATTCTTGCCTGAAGAATTCCATGGAATTTTGGTGAGCTGCAGTCCAGGGATCACAGAGATAGACATGACTGAGTTACTAACAATTCTAAGTTAAGGGAAAGGCTTTTGAGATGATCATGGCTTCCCTACAGTCACTCTGTGAAGACAGCAGTTGGAAAACAGCCTAATGTCAAGATCTTTTTGTTGTTGTTAAAGCAGCATTTTACACAGTATGATAAAATAGGAATTTGACATAAGAAAAGCACAAAATATGTAAACAAAGTCACATACCATTAAAAGTATTGCTATGTGCAAGTTTTGAATAGAATTTTAGGAAAGGAATCCCAATGGTTCTCATCAAGAGTAAGCTCTCATCTAAGCTACACAACTCAACATTAAAACAAAAGCAGAAACAAAGATATTGATCTGGGGGGGAGGAGGCATGACTTATAAAACTAGTTAGCTTATATATAATTTTGTGATAATGTTTGAAGAATTTTAGATAGTACGATGCCTCTTTTTGGTGAGATTTTAATTTTTAAATTCCAATTATGCAGTTTATAAATTTTTTAGCAATAGGAAGTTTCCAAATAAGAATAATGCAATTTTTGATATGTAACAATCCCTGGTATCTCAAATGGTAAGGAATCTGCCTGCAATGCAGGAGGCTGGGGTCTGATCCCTGGGTTAGGAATATCCTCTAGAGAAGGGAATGACTACCCACTCAAGTATTCTTGCCTGGAGAATTCCATGGACAGAGGAGCCTGGCCAGCTACACTCCATGGGATCACAAAGAGTCAGACACAACTGAGCGACTAATCCACGCACAGCAATGTCACAAATTTCATAGATTTTACACATTTTCAATGATAAATTTGCACAATTTTGAAATGAATCAGAATAATTAAACATATATTAATAGTTAAGATCATTTATAAGTACAATAAGGTTAGATGTTTGTGCTGTCATATACCTAATTAAGACACATAGAATATGCCTATGTGACCTTGAACATATTTACTCATTTTGTTTCATGTTTCAGTTTGATTTCTACACTTGCAGATAAAATTAAGTGATTTTTATTGTACCTGTAACTCAAATGCAAGAGAAATGTCTCTCCTGTGTGTTCTAGTTTCCCAATTATATATTTTAAAATACCATTTTTTCATTTGTATTCAATTATAAAATTGCATCTTTTTTTTATTCTGAGGAATATTTATACATTTTGAGATTAAAAAAGTAGCATTATATTTTGTAAATGTCAGTGATAAAATCAGATCCAGTATTAACAAGTTGACTTTGCCAATAAATTACCAGGACACCTATGTTGCTGCTCAATTCCTTAATATTTTCCAAAAGTCCTGATGAATGCAGAGGGTGTATAAAACCTAACATGTAATGTTTTTCAAGGAAGAGCATTAGTGTGGTGTCCCTCTGTGGATGCAGTACCCAGCACCTCGTTTTATGTGACACAAATAATATTTATTTTGGAATAGTTAATGTCACTCAATTATTTATCTTTTTCAATAGAAAAAGAATGCAGTATTCCTGAAATGGATACATACTTAGATGCTTATCCCAGGAAAGAAACATTTAAAGTTGGAGATGTGCTGAAATTCTCCTGCAGTCAAGGCCATATTTTGGTTGGAGCAGATTCAGTTCAGTGCTACCACTTTGGATGGTCCCCTAAACTTCCAACGTGTAAAGGTAAATATTTATCTGACAGTTGTTGGAGCAAGAGTTCAGATTTCAGATATCAACCTTTTTATTTCCTTCTCTTAATTTTTTGTCCACTTCCAGTGCATCTATAATGCATTAAGCCAGAGATATACCCACCAAGGACATATGCTGGGTAGTAGACACCTCAGTTTTCCTTCTTTAAGAAATTAACCTCCAGGTGCTTCTTGAAATATGTGGTGGAGAATTCACAGAAATGCATGAGGAACCTGACGCTGGCAGGAGTTCTTGTCAGTTTTCCTTTTTCCTGCAATTCCACCATAAATACTGGAGAGTTTATATAATGTGGGCTTTACCTCTAGTGTCCTCAGGTAAATATATACAGTGTTCAAGTAGCTTATAGTCAGTTCAGTCACAGGTATCAAATCATATGAATCAAAGTTAAACTGTTCAAATGCTTCTCTCAAATGATATTTTTTCAAAAAGTTTTCCTGCAGTGTTTCTGTGGGATAAAAGTATTGCTGTAATTCATACACCCAGACTGAGTAATTGACTTGCATACCTATTAGCATGTCTGGATAATGAACATGCTTTCTGAGCAAACACAGACTTCAATATGCTAGTTCAAGATGAGTAATAGAATTGGTAAACATGAGGCTGGTGTAAACACTACTCTTATTTCATTGTTTAAGAATGCTAAACTATATTATATAATAAACAAAAGATCATTTAGCAAAATAAATTTCTGCATTAGCTGGATTTTTCAGTTATAAGACAGACAATGTAATCCTAATTCATGCAATATTTCTACAGAAGGGAACGTAAAATCGTGTGCTCCACCTCCTCAACTTCTCAATGGGAAAGGGAAAGAAATACACAAAGAAGAATATGCACACAATGAGGTCGTGGAATATGCTTGCAACCCCAGATTTCTGATGAAGGGTTCTCATAAAATTCAATGTGTTGATGGAGAATGGACAGCTTTACCTGTGTGTATTGGTAATGTATTGAAAATAGCAATATTTAAAGTAAATCAACACTTTTATTTGTATCTATATACACATTTAAATAATATTTTAAAGACGAACATATTTTTGTGGATTTTCAGAGGAGGAGCGTACCTGTGGAGATATACCTGACCTTGATCACGGCGATGTCAAGCCTTCTGTCCCTCCCTATCAGCATGGTGACTCGGTAGAGTTCAGTTGCAGAGCAGCATTTACAATGATTGGACCCAGATTTATCACGTGTATTAGCGGAGAGTGGACCCAGCCTCCTCAGTGCATTGGTCAGAATACACATCTCACATTGACTTTTAGTATTTGCAACCATACTATGGAAATTTAGAGTCATCCTTGAAAATGTCAGATCTTAAATTATAATGATCCCAAACATTTGACTTTTATACTTCAATATGTGTCTAAAGAGGAAATATATAAACCAGCAATAGAAGTTTATCCATCTTTTTGTCCTGATATTAACATTGTTGATCTTGACAAATGTGAAGCCTAATCTTACTGATAGGTACTCATGTGATTAAAATGTGAGTACTAGTTACCAGGAAAATACAACTATCATTGCAGAAATGCCATTTTTGCTTTTATATGGTACTCTTTCTTTTAGAACATTTGAAACCAGTAATTAGAGTTGAGGAAATACCCGTTTGATACATTTCTGTAGGAATCTTGCCTCTCTCAAGATTCTAAAAATGATAAATTCTCAGTCTGTTTCAAATTCTGCAAAGAGAAGTTTCTGTGCTGTGGAGGGTAACCCTGTTAGTAGGTAACTCTGTAATGGGAGGCACTTTGGGTGGGGCCAGGAACCTGCCCTGACACATTTCTTTGTAAGAGACACATCCTTACCTTTGGATGACCGAGTCTTTGATGAGGAGAATCAATCTTAACTGCCTTCTTTCATTTTTTCTCTTGGGATAGACTCTTTCTTGGAATTTTCCTGGGCTCTGCATTCAAAGAGAACCCTGGATGTCCAGGCCTATTAACTCATTATATTTCTAGTCATTAATTATTCCAAGAAGAAGGTAGGGCTTAGGCTCAGGCCCTGAGTGAGGGCAGGGCAGATAGCTGTTTTCTTTGCCGACAGTGTGTTGAAAGATCCACACTCAAAAGACCAGTTGTCAGATGGGAGAGATTCAGTAGGAGTTTATTTAGTTAAACACTACATTTTTTGCTTATTAATCCCTACATTTTTATGAACAGATTCCTGTCCTAGTAGGTATTGCCAGTTCTTCAAGACCAAACCCCATCTTTGTCCTCTTCTATCTCCTCAAATGAACTCACCTCGTTTAACTGTCATTTTACCTCATGTCAAAATGTTTGCTTCAATTATTGTTCTTCTGGCCTCAGAGTTTTCATTGCAAATGTTAATCCTCTACCAGTATTCAGTTTAATTTAGTCTCCTTTTGCTATACTAGACCTTATTCCAGTTTTCCCCTCTCAAGGTTTATTTTGTAACTCTGTCTAGTCTAACTTGTCATTCTCCTACTATGTTTGTTTTCTCCTAAAAATATAAGTCTGCTTTCCTCCCAGAAACCAGTCCATCAAAGGATGCTGCCAGCAGCCACTTCTCATTTCGAGTATGCATCTTCCTCAGTCACCATTCCTTGAAATATACTACTGGCTTTGTGTCCCTCAACACTCTGAGCAAATCTTAGAAACAGGGCTAATTCTCAAGCCTCTAGTGTGTTTTCAATTCATCTCCTTATTTCATTGTATCTTTTCAGAATTTCGTTTTGAAATCATCACTTTTCTTTGACTAACTACTTGATTTTCCTTATTTTATTTATTTCACTTAACCTTTATCATGAACAAATCATTAACATATACTGCCAAAGACCTATCCTGATATTTTGTCAAATTCAAAAAGAACCTCTGCCTGCATTGAATTTTTGAAATTAAAAAGCTTTCTTAGTCCATATTTAACTTGTCCTGGAGCTAGAAAAAAATTGTTATCATGGTTTTATATTGGATTTTTGAATGATCTGGTACATAACATAGTGTCTCAAAGACTCTAAGTGTATAAACAAGATGGGTTGTAACTTTAATTACCCATTTTCCTATTCCAGGTATTTGTTCATTTTTGGTGATCAGGTAAAAGATTTGCTTAAAAGTTAAGATTATATACAAAACACCTTGGATGTAATTTGCTCATTATGTTTCATTACATTTCTTGAAAAAATATATATAAAATAGCAACTTGGTATGCTATGTCCACAGCTAGTTGTTTTTATTTTCATGTTTTAAGATTGTGAATTAAAAATAATACAGAGATGCTTAAGGTCAAAAGCAAATTATATGAATATTTGTATAGATTTCAAGTTTGGGATCAAATTTATTCATGTGATGACTATTTGCTATGTAGATCATCAGAAAGTATTCCAGTCAAAAAGGCAGAAATCTTTAGGATGGGTATTGAAATTTAAAAAACTGGATGCAGGACTCAGGTTCATGTATAATTTTTTCATCTCATGCAATTTGATCAGCAATAACTTGGCTGGTGGGATTTGGAGGCATAAATTCTAACATCTTTGAATTGACTCCATAGCTATTTTTTGTTATTAGCTATTTGGTTCTTTAGAATTAGTCTTTTCAAGGGAATGTTTTCATTTTATAGCAACAGATGAACTTAAGAAGTGTAAAGGGTCAAAATTATTTCTACCAAATGGAGAACTAGCACATAAGATTGAATATGACCACAACACCAACAAAAGTTACCAATGCCGAGGAAAATCAAAACTCAAACACTCAATCTGTATAAATGGAAAATGGGACCCTAAAGTAACCTGCAAAGAAGGTAATCTCTTGTCCCTAATGTTTTAAAAATGTATCCTATTTCTTTTTAACTTGTAAAAGTAATATCTTTGTGTCCTTCAAGGAAATTTAGCTATTTATCATTACAGATATTTTCCATCTGCTGGTAGTTTAGAAGCTAATCAAAATACTGTGTCTAAATATTATTTGTACAATGTACCTTAGTCAGCTATGTGACAAACCACTCAGAGACTTTGTGACTTTAAATTAACATCTGGCCAGTAGGTGTGTTCATTTCCACAGGAAAGCCAGTACTTCTGATTTTGTGTATTACACATAAATGTGCTTATGCCTATGCTGAACTATTATGTATTTATCCATGTATCTATTTATGTATTAATCTATGTATCTATGTATATATATTTATGTATCTATCTAGTCATCTATTTCTTTATTTGTTTAACTATCTTGAAAAGTCTTGAGTCATGTTGACATGATAAATTCCCTTTGAATTGGTTCATTTCAATTTTCCACTTTTCATATCTGTGTTTCTCTTCTCCAACTCTGTGACATCTTGACTCCCTAGCCTCAAGATTTTTACCAATTTTTACAAATCTAGAATATCTAGAAAGAAGCTTCAAATCAATACAAAATTGATTGTACAGATCTACTCTCTAATATTCACCCTCATAATTCTTCCTTATATACAGATCCCTATATAAAAATCATACAACAATACAACTGTATTAATGGAGAATAAGTTATTTAGAAAAGCATCACTATTTGGGAATTAAACAACAAGCTTCTAAATAACTGCCATGCCAATACATAATGTCCATTGTATATTGTGGGCTTCCCTGGTAGTTCAGCTGGTAAAGACCCTGCCTGTAATACAGGAGACCCCAGTTCAATTCTTTGATTAGGAATATCCTCTAGAGAAGAGTTAGGCTGCCCAACCCAGGATTCTTGAGCTTCCCTGGTAGATCAGCCTACAATCTGCCTGCAGTTGGGGGGGACCTGGGTTCAATCCCTGTGTTGGGAAGATCCCATGGAGGCAACCCACTCCAGTATTCTTGCCTGGAGAAGCCCCAAGGACAGAGGAGCCTGGCAGGTTGCAGACCATGGGATCACAAAGAGTGGGAAATGACCGAGTGGCTAAGCACAGCATCATATATTATATATTTATGATTGCTTAGTCCTTGTGAATCAAATTTCTTATAATTATAAAATATTTCTTAATTTTTGTCATGTACCTTGTCTAGAAATCTATATTAGCTTATTAAATATAGTTAAATTAAAACAATTTAGTATTTCATATGATGAACAATTTCCCAACAAATTTCAAGGAATTCATGTTTGTCAGCTATTTTAAATTAATAGCAAATATAAAAATAAAAGAGCTTGCTACACAACTGCATCTTTAAGGAAACAAGTAACGTTTACAGGTAGTGAAGTACATATGTTCTACAGTTTCTTCTAGAAACTTTATAGTGTTATGTGAGTATATTAAAGTATGTTATCTGTCTTATGTTAACATTTGAGAGTTGCATAAAGTAAGAGTTAACTTTTTATGGATGGATTGTCAATTATTTTAGCAATATGTGTGGAAAAGACTTTGAAGTGAAAAATCAATTAACTATGAAAATGTTGATTTATTTCAAACTTTTTATTTAGTCATGTAACAATCTTCACTGCTACCAAATTACCTTTGTAACTAGCTTTTTAGTAGGCTGAAAGTCTGATAATAGTCTCCAAGTATGTTCCTTTCACTCAAAATTACTTTAGTTATTCTTGTTTTAAACATAGAAATTTCAGGGGAATTTACAAATTTTGATAAAATATTGGGTTGCATATCAAAAGGGATGGCTTTGTAATGAGACATGAATTACGGAGAATTGACTTCCATATTTATTTATATTTCCATATAAATATTTATAATGGCTTAGTCCTTGTGCATTATCTTTTTAAAAGTTATAAAATAGGTCTTCATAGTTTTATTTATATGCCTTCTCTGGAAGTCTACATTATTTATTGAAATATAGCTAATTAATTTAAAACACTTGATTATTTTCATGTGATAAAAGAATTCCTGTAATAAGTGCCCTCCAGTTATTCTCTATAAATTAAATCAATTGCAAATTAAAAGAGAGCTAGCTAAGCAACTTATTTACCCATATCACAAAACTTGAAAAACTAAAAAAAAAATTTTTTCTGTGATTTACTGACAGAAAATATCTTAAATTAAGTAAAATGAAAATAGTATACTTTGGAATCTATGACATACAACAAAAAAACAAAGATATGCGTAGATTAAAACTAGCTTTACAAAAAAAAGAAAACTTAAGTAATAGGTAGTACAATCTAGAATCTAGAAAAGAACATACATCCAAAGAACATAGAAGGAAAGAAAAACTAAAATTAAAATGTCAATTTTTATAATATGCTTAAAAGTGTAAATAGCTGATTTGCAAAATATTCAGTTTGTAGGGAAATGTAGTATATTGACCAAATTTCACAAGACTTTTAACAAGTACAAATTAAAATTTTTAGGACAAAAATCTTTAAGCATCAGACATAAAAGAAAATAAATTATTGAAAATACATTGACAAAAATGTCAAAATAGTTAAAACAGAAATAAGAGAAATGTTTCTCATGAAATATAAAATACTCCAAGTCTTCCCTGGTGGCTCAGATGGTAAAGAATCCACCTGATTTGCAGGAGACCTCAGTTCAATTCCTGTGTTGGGAAGACCCACTGAAGGAGGGCAAGGCAACCCACTCCAGTATTCCTGCCTGGAGAATCCCCATGGACAGAGGAGCCTGGCAGGTTATAGTCCACGGGGTTGCAAAGAGTCTGACATGACTGAGCGACTAAGCACAATACAGCACACAAAATACCCCTATTGACTTAAATCAGAATAGAAAATCTGATGATATTACTAATGATGAATAAAGTTTATTCAGTCAAATATTTCCCTGAATTTAATACAAAATGTTGGATCCCTGAAAGGATTTATGAGTTTCCAGCCTATACTTGCATAATGCTTCTATGAAAATAAAAATGAAGCATGACAGGAGAAAGCAAAACCAAGGAGTCATAGAACAGGTTTTGTGTTCAGATTATGAATTGGATATCTGAGGTATCTCTATTTGATGGACTCAGACACAGTTTACAAGGGATCTTTTATATGCTCTGGTCACGCACAAAAAGCCAGCCTTGCTAATCCATTAAAGAAGGTGCATTCATCAATGTATATATCCTTAACAGTGTAGGCAAGCTACTGAATTGTACCTCCAGGAGAGTACTGAACTATAAACAATACAATCTATATCCCAATGAACATATCTAACCCTTACCTTGTTCAAGAATCAGCATCAAATTAATAGATCACGAACTAAATATAGTTTCTCCTCTGGCTAATCAACTCCCACTGGTAGAAAATTCTGTGAGGGCTTTCATCCAATTACAATATATCTGATCATGGATATCTGTTTAAAAAACAGAAAAGACCCTGATATCAGTTTTTCATCAGTGCCTATACCTGAGTGAGCAATTCATTTAGAACATCCTAAAGGTTAGAAAAATTTTAAATCAGTTTACATAAATCATGCATGATTGTCCACAGGAAGAATAAAAGGAAGAAACTACAAGAAAGACCACAAGACTGTGAACCAAATATGATATATTAAAGTGCTAAACAAGCTTAAAAATATAATTATAGAGTATCATATTATTTGATCATTTATGATATATTATTAGAGCTGTTTATTGAAAATTTTTCCTTTAATATTTGGACTTATGCTTTTCTATCAAGAAATATAATTTTAATATTTTCAGAAGCACAAATACAACCATGCCCACCGCCACCTCAGATTCCCAATGCTCGAGATATGACAACTACAGTGAAATATCAGGATGGAGAAAAAATATCAATTCTATGTAAGGAAAATTATTTGATTCAAGATGCAGAAGAGATTGTGTGCAAGGATGGGAGATGGCAGTCAATCCCACGTTGCATTGGTAAGTAGAGCATAAGTTTGTTTAAAACATTCTTTAAAGAAAATTAATACTCCTCTAAGCTTTGTATCCTTCTGTGGTGGCTCAGTGGTAAAGAAACCTCCTGCAATGCAAGAGATGTAGAAGATACAGGTTTGATCCCTAGATGGGGAAGATCCCTTGGCAGGGGTGGGGTGGGGGTGGCAACCCAATCCAGTGTTCTTGCCTGGGAAATTCCATGGACAGAGGAACCTGGTGGGCTACACTCCATGGGGTCGCAAAGAGTTGGACATGACTGAGTGACTGAGCAAGGACACAAGCTTTGTATGGATCAGCAAGATGAAGTCCTCTCTCTCTCTTCCAATTTATCTTGAAACAGTAAATCACAGTTTCAGTTTATGAATTGATGAACACCTTCACTTCTGATGTGAAATGCAGACAAACTCTTTGGGCTACTGTGCAAATAACAGGTAAAATTTATGTTTATGCAAATTTTATTCCAATAATCAAAAGGACAAGAATGAAGGGCAACTGGGCTGCCCAGCCTGGGAGTCATGGTCCTGAAGGGTAAGCCCCAGAAATTCTGACTTAGGAGTCTGCTTTAACTTGTGCACAAGAAAGCCAGAGGGCCGTAGGAAACAGAGCTGCTGCTCTTTAAAGCCACACAGAATTCTCACGTGCTCTCTGCACCAGTGAAGAGGCATCAATGGGAAAGAGGCTTGGGTTAGACTAATTTGCTTATCTTTGTGAAACTCCTAGAGGGATAGGAGACAATTGGGATCATACATACTGGTGCCAGCCATCGTGAGAGACAAGTGCCACTTTAGAGTTCTCCCTAACACACACATACATAGCTTACTAGCACCAGAGGCCTAACAACTCACTAGCATGACAGCACCAGCCCCAGACTCCGCTGGGCTCCTCAGCTGCCACACCTGCATCTCACCCAGCTCTTGGGTGTGATGCCACCAGCCCATGTACACTTAGGGACTGAAGCCAGCTCCATCAGCACTTCATCCTGCCTATGAGTGGGCTGGCAGCCACTACATGAAGCAAGGTCTGGCAGCCAAC